CTCTCTCTCTCTCTCTCTCTCTCTCTCTCTCTCTCTCTCTCTCTCTCTCTCTCTGTCTGTCTCTCTCGTATTTGTGTAACCGCACACGTTTATTTATTTGTGCGATCTAGATATTCGACGATATACTCTCGTTCCTTAACCCAACAATTATTGCACAAGTTCTGTTGTCCTAATCACATCGTTCGACCAAGCTAACCCGTGTGCGTGCTGCACGTGCCCCTCTGAGGACTAGCGTCTGAAACTAGTATATGTGTTAGTCGCGCCATGCGTGCACACCCAGCCGTCACTATAAACGCCATCGCGTCAGCTCGCATCGAAATTCGAACGTCGGTTGCTCGCATGTTCGCTCTTCAATGTGTGTTTCAGCCTCTGCTGCCCACCCGCTCCACTGGTGTGCATACACCCAACATACACCCCCATACACACGAGCTGCACCCATCATACACCCCCATACACCTAACATACACGCCCCCCCCCCCATACACACAAGCGCGCGCAGGCTCATCAAGATGGGCAAAATTGAAGGATTTTACTTTCTATTATCCAGAAGGCGAATCTCCTTAAGACGTCTTGTGCACAATTTCACAGCTATAAATATGCTTATGAGGGCGGAACACCGAATCTGAATGCTTCGCGCGACCGGGGATCTCACACGCTCCGTGAGTGCGCGCGCGTGCGTGCGTGTGTGCGTGCGCGCGTGCGTGCGTGTGTGCGTGCGTGCGTTCGTTCGTACGTTCGTGCGTATGCGGGTGCCTTCCTGCCTGCTTGCATGCATGCACGCAGTGTTTGTTTCAGAGCTGATTCGACTAACCCCCGGGGAGGATATCCTCGGATATTGGGTGTTTTACGACCGCGGAATATCTTTATGCTCCGTCGCCAATAACCATGCCAACACAAGGAGTTTAACCAGAATGACGAAGTAAGCCGAGGATGGGGGGGCCGCAGCGATGCGTTACTAGAACAACTAGATGCAGCTGGTGAAATGAAACCATTCCAAGCCAAAAAATACCGAAGAGGTGAAGCCCTCGATGAGGCGGCAGTGCGTGTCAATCATTGAGATTATATGCGATGTGTTTCAGAGTGAGCAAAGCGCGTACGTTCTGATGAGAGGTTTAGCCGCTGTGAGCGTGTGAGAGTTGAGTGAGTATCGACGCATGTTCAATCGCAGCCTCTCGAATCGATTAAAGATATCGGGAGATGTTGTCTTTGAAGGTTTGAATGAGAGTACATAGTAATTTATTTCGTGTAAGATGGTAGGTCATGCGCGGAAAAGGTTGCATATTGCGTTCAGGAAAATTACGATAGATGATTTTATGGCTGAATTTCAATGATGATTGAAGTATTCTCACAGTCTGCAGCATATATCTCAATGTATAAACATCTACAATAATCTACTGTCGCTATTCGACATTCCATCCATCCGTTCAGGTATATAAGTATTTAAATTTAAAGAACTCTCTGTATACCAAATATTAATAATATACCGTATATGTCCGTATTTGACTTACATATTATAAATCCACGCAAATAGCTAGTTATAGTGCCGGGCGTGGTGACGGTTAATTTTTGTAGTGCCCACGTTACTATAGCGTACCAATTAGATGAGATGAAATAGTGAAATAGTGAACTAGTGACATACAGGTTTATGTGCTTTTTCTAAATTCACGAGTCCCGTGTATTTCGAATGTGCACATGCTAGGACTATCACTATTGTACATGCATGCGAGAATGTCCTGTATGCTAATATACCATAATAAAAATTTGCATGCATTTTATATATCTGCTATATACCATATATATATAACACGCTGCTCATCCGTAATATCTCATTCAATTGCAGAGACGTCATTATCCGAGCTACGCGTATGTGATTATTCAATTAAATTGTTAAAGTTATTGCAATCGTCGGAACTGCTTGCACGTGGAAATTCCAGTGTGAAAAAATCGCTAGTCTAACGATTTTTATGTCTCGCTTTCTGTGTTTGTCGTCAAACGACCTTTGCGTTGCTTGTCACTAAACGGTGTCACAGAGGGGCGTCATCTCTCTGTCCCGTCGTCGTGTAACATCGCCGGCAACAGCGCGACAAGAACGCATCGGTAATTATATTATATCTTTTCTTGTCGGAGTGCTTCGTCAGCCATGATCATTATCTCCGGCATGTTGAGAACAAATTAGAAATGTGTTATTTCCGTGTAGCGGAGGCCAGCTGTAGCAACAAACCTATATAAGATATCGACTGGCGACAAAGCTCAAAGGCGTTCGCATCGAGGTTTGCCCCCCGCTTCGCCCGCTGCGCCAGCCGACGAAATATTTAGATTGCTCCCGAGATGAAGAGAGAAGATCCCCGCATGGCGAGAGGAAAAAAACAACTTTACTTAACGTAAAGATATTAACGCGAATTAGCTTTTTGACCTACGTGCGTATGAAGTAGAATTCAGCGAATTCTTCGTCTATTCAATGCATAAAGTTTGAAATCGCATGGAGACCTGTACTCCTTTCTGCGCGTATCGTTTGCCTTTAAGGCAGAACATTTGTCATAATATTCGCACATCGTACAGTCCTAGAGTAATTGATACTTTGTGTCGTATAAAAAAATATATACTATCACTGCCGTTGAGTATGTAAACAGAACCGACCGTAAAAGTATAAGTCCGTCGTACTTAACGTCGTCCACAATGTTCGATAACGCATTTCGTTCCAAGCGGTATACAGATTACGTGCATCGCATTACGTCGGCATGTTAACCTACATAGGCACACATATGAGAAACTCTATTATGTGGCTTAATAAAGCAAACGATCCGTATGAATGCGAGTATAGTTACGCTCTTGACCGTTATCCTGACCAGATGTTGGCTTCAGACGTTCAGACGAATCTTACATGCCGCCTCTGCGCGCGCGCGCGTGTGTTTGGTGTGTGTGTGTGCGTGTGGTGTGTGGTGGTGTGTGTTGGTAGTGCGTGTGCAGTTGGTGTGTGTGTGGCGTGCGTGCGTGCGTGCGTGTGTGTGTGTGTGTGCGCGTGTGTGTGTGTGCGCGCGCGTGTGTGTGTGCGCGCGCGTGTGTGTGTGCGCGCGCGCGTGTGAGTATAGTGTAATTTATATGCGTGTAGTTGTTTGTTTGTTTGTTGTTTGTTGTTTGTTTGTTTGTTTGTTGTTTGTTTATTTATGTGCGCGTGCGTGCGTGTATACGTGTATGCGTGCGTATATACGTGTATGCGTGTGTGCATATAATTGTGCGCGAACGTGTGTGGGCCTGTGTGTGCGTGCGCGTGTGCGTGAGTGCATGCGTGTGTTTGCTTGTATGTGCTTACGTGCTACTTTTGTAATTTAGACAGCTGACCCGCGGCGGGCTTCCGTGATACGGTCGCCTTCTGCTACACCTATCGCACGAAGCCGTTCAGGGTAATTACTTTCGTCAGCTGTTAGTATGGATCACGGTGTGTGTACGTGCGTGCGTGTGTGCCTACCTGTGTGTATGTGCGTGCGTGTGTGTGTGTGCCTACCTGTGTGTATGTGCGTGCGTGCGTGCGTGCGTGTGTGCCTACCCGTGTATATGTGCGTGCGTCCGTGCGTGCGTGCGTGTGTGTATCTGTCCCTATGTGCGTGCGTGCGTATGCGTGCGCAACTGCGTAAGTGCGTGCGTGCGTGCGTCTCGCTCCATTCGTATGCCTGGCCGCATTATACCAGCGACAGAATTAGTCTCGTTTGTTATATCACCCGTGTTTATCACTGCGTCGTGCTTACGCCGTGTTTACGGTCTCGTACCTCGCGAGTCCCAGGTGCCCGGTGATACACGCGGCCGCACTTGGTTCTTTGCCGAGTATGAAACGCCAGAGGTACTTGTCTCAGATCTCAGGTTTTAGGTTTCAGGCGGCTATAACAGCGTTTGTTACTTCTCCGGTGCGCGGCGATGCTCGCGCCGCGTGTTCGTTACTCCGTCGTACGTCATGTTGTATGACGTACGAGTTCACCTCGCGAAACCGTAGCGCGTGTATACACGAATCGAATCAGGCACGTGTGCTTTTGTTCGGGTGTTTTGTTCGGGTGTATCACCGTTCGACATACGAGGCGCCTTTGAGCAACGATACACCTGAACAAAATGTGCACTCTGTATTCGACAATGGCTGCTTATGCAGAGTAGGTTGCCTGATCAGGTGCATAACTGTTCAATAAACGAGAGGTTTCTTTATTTGCGATCGAGATACGTATACCCGAATGAAAAGTGTAATTTGTATTCGACGTAGACTCTTACTAAAATATGTAAATTTTTATCGCAGACGAGTTCTCCTCTGTAAATAGTCTTTTGATGGTATTTCCAATGTGACACGTGAGCGACTCACCGTCATTGGACCACCATGTTAAATACCCGGATGTGAGCATTCGTCCGTTGGCTTACGTGTGTTTGTCACTATTTCGCGTTCCCCGGGCGGGTGGGTGTGTGCGTTTGTCCCATGGCGATGGCTTGACAATTCGCCGTTACAGTAGATATGTTGTTTTGACATTTCAATTGAGTGTTGTGTCGCCTTCGGCACAATTTCCTTCCGCCGATACTGCCCCTGTCAGGTGCATGCATACTGGCTCAGGTGACACGCAAATGTAATATAAAGAAAAATAAATTTCGGCTCTACGCTAATGTCTTTGGTGGTATTACCGAAAACGTGTGCGCGCGTATAAATGTTGCTATGTGCGTGCGTGCGTGCGTGCGTGCGTGCATACATGGCATTGCGTGGAAGCGTGCGTTCGTGCAAGCATGCATGTGTGCATGCGTGCGTTCGTGCAAGCATGTATGCCTGCATGCGTGTGTGCGTGCGTGCGTGCGTGTGCAGTGTGCGTGCGAATTGAAGGTTAGAAGCTGCATGTATGGAAATGGTGGTGGTGAGAAGCCACGATTATACGGTAGCGGTTAGCAATTTCAGGTAAGGAATGATGGTTAGAAGAAGCCGGTAAGGACTGTTGGATGGAGCCATAGCTATGGAATGGGCATGTACGGAATAGTGGTTGTAAACCGCAGGTAGTCTTTTTGTAAGCGAGTTGCATCCAACTGCACTGCGATTTCCAATTTCGTATTCGCAAGCCTTTGAAATCATATAAGGAGCGACTATTGGAAGCGTTTATAAAACTTTCATCGCATGCAGGTGTCCATGCGGGTGCGTTTTTTCTTAATTTCACGCAAACGTTTTCCTTTTGTGTACGAATAACATTTTAATAAGCTCGGGCGGGTGCGAGAACACAGTGAGCGGGCACGCGCGCGTTACTCATGCGTTCTCTCGTCACGTCTCGTTACAAGGAGTGATGACATCACCATACCTCGCAGCTGATATCTCATTATCTTCCCGGGCCCGCCGCGCCATCGCGTGTACTGTCACCTCTGTACGCCAGCGTATACCTCGATGTGTGGCAACGAACCCCTCCCCTTCCTTTTAATTCCCGGAGGGCACATGGTTTCATTGAACCGTCACAATGAGATTCTGAGCGCTGTCTCACTTTAGGCTAGTCTTAATATTTAACCGGCGTGAAAGCTTTCCTCGAATAAATTTTTGTTTTTTGTTTTGAGAGATTTTAAGTAGTATTTTCGCAGGCGTTCTGTGTCGCTGCGCTGAAGCTTCTATGCTCATTTACGTTAGTGGCTTTCTCTTTCTCTCTCTTTCTTTCTTTCTCTCTCTCTTTCTCTCTCTCTCTCTCTCTCTCTCTCTCTCTCTCTCTTTCTCTCTCTCTCTCTCTCTCTCTCTCTCTCTCTCGCTCTCTTCCTCTCTCTTTCTCTCTCTCATCATCACAAGCCCCCTCAAAGTTTACCCACGGGGTTTTTTCTTCTCCGGCTCCACACAACATACTTTGCCACTTTCTGTTAGTTTATCCTGTACTTAGAACTGTAAAACCCGTACTTGCGAGAAAGAATATATAGATGCAGCGTCCATCGCTATTCCGGTTGCCATCACAATACGCGTGTCGCTGCGTTATAAACCCGCCAGGCATCTGGCCGTGCTGCCGGATGGACCGCGAGCTATGTTGAGGACGCTAGAGCAAGGCCGTGTCAATCATATATCGCCGCGCTATAGCGCTTTCCTCTGGAATACAATGCTGACGTCCTTATATTTTGCCCGTTGTTATTTTACCTGCGCCCATGTGGCCGCCCACGTGTGCACGCGTCAGCCGCGTGTCGGCCCGTGCTCGTGCCTGTGTCGTGACATGCTGGATTGTGCCCGCGCCGCCGTCAGTGCCACATCCTTGTACGTGCGCTTCTTGCCTCATCGCAGCACATCAGCCATGTTGGCGCAGCAAGAGGTGAGGCGCAATAGTGGCGCGCGTGTGCGCCAAGGTATTCTACCACACACACCACTCTCTCTCTCTCTCTCTCTCTCTCTAAACTCTCTCATCTCTTCTCGTACCATCTCTCTCTCTCTCTTCTTCCTCCTCTACCCCCGTCAGTCTCGTCTCTTCTCCCTCCCCCCGTCTCTCTCTCTTTCTCTCTCGCTCTCTTTTCCTCCCTCCCCCCGTCTCTCTCTCTCTCTCTCTCTCAATATTCTACCTCTCTGTCTCTCCACCGCAGATGCCCGTATAGAACTCAGCGCTATACACATGCAGCAGCTGCTTGTGGAAGCAGATAATTTATTCACGAAGGCCTTCCCTATTGCATACAACCTGTAAGCAATCACCATACATATGTACGTGGTTCTTTCAGGTGGCATTATATTTTCTGAATTATTAATGCGTGCATAAAATTCATGAAAGGCAAGCGCATCCCATATTCGTAAGAACAGATAAGGCCAAATGAGAGCAACTCGTGTTGAATGCAGGCAAATTCCTGCCGCCTAAATTGGGCATTCTCTCGTGATATAATCGAATAATTAGCCACTTGTTTACGCGCGTGTTCCAGAGCAGCTGCCATGTATTATTCAAGCCAGGGTTGGTAAGCTGCCGAGAAAAACCTCACCGGACGCGGAAAGTTGCGTCCTGCGTGCATGCGCGTGCGTCTGACCCACGTGGTGTTGGG